TCTGATAATTTGGTTTGTCTATCACAAACTCTCTGACTCTCTCCCAGTGTGCGAACTATAGCATTACTTTTGGGGAGTTCAGACCCTGCTCTCTCCTGTCAAACTCTTGGAAGCAGTCAAAAGGATTTTCTTTAGTTATATATATTTCGGACTGGCTTTTTGAGGTCCTCATTATCTAATTTGCTGGCAGTTCTTGGTGGTTTGATAGATGATTCAGAACCAGTCTGGTTCTACCCAGGCATAACATCTTTTCAAGGAATTTGTTTCTGCATCTTACATGAGTCATTAGAATGTGGGCCACATGATGCAGACGATCCGGGTAGGAATGAACGGAGCCCGCCCCCAACACTGTATCCAGTTCTTCTTAATACATCCATGATACCTACAGACACTGCGGGTTTCCTTCCATGCAGTCCGCCATGTTGAATCACCATGTTTTACAGTAGCCTAAAACACCAAACCAAACACTGGTTCTAGAAACGGCATTCAAAATATTTTAGTATTTTGATCATATTCAATTTTTTGATTAACTGATATAATTAAAAAAGTATATTTCAGAGATTGGTTTGATCCATTCCTCCCTTGGGTTTTTGTTCTGGGGAGGGTACAAAAACAAACCACCATCCAAACTCATGTTTTTTCGTCTCCATTTTAATTACATGCTTGGCACACACTGGAGGTTACAGCAACACAGTATCTTCTGTAACTTACATTTACAAGTTACATGCAGACTCTTTCTCTGTGAAGTCTTTTTAAATATGGCTGAACTTGCATGCTATTCAATAAAATGCCCTCTTGTCTACATCTGGTCTGCTAAATAAAATAAGTTCTCTCAAGTAGCAAAATGCTGTGTGAGGTAACTACCCATTATTTGGAATTTTGGGGTGGTGAACAGTGCCAGCCAGTAACTTAATCTATACAGTTAACAACTTAGGGTCGGATCATAATTAACAGTCAGTCTTAATTGTTCTCAAACCATTCTCAGCTTAAAGTTCTCTTGCTGCGCTATCAGAGCATCATGGTGCTTGTGGGAGTTCTGGAAGAACTCCTTTCCCTTCTGCAGGTTCTGGTCTGACAAGAAGCGTTCCGCCAAAGTCCGCTGGATGGCCTTCCGTTCACAGGCCCTGTGGTGAACCCCGTGGCTTACGTTTCTCAGAAGCTCCACTATCAGCAACCCACTAGGGCCGGGGGTCAAGGCCGGAAACACTTTCACCTGTTGTCAGAGGGAAGGATAATGGGCTTATGTGTTATATGTTTCTCTGATCAGAACTACGAAAATAACCAATAGTATTCTGCAGACCATAAAACATCACATGAATGTATTATGTTGTTGCCAGTTTATTACACCTAGGTATAACTAATACAACAGTCCTGCAATAAATCCATATTATCATCTTAAACCTGCATTTTATGCAATGGCATACCTCACATACATCCATTATGATGTTCATTTAGAAAATGATGGTCCCATTTATTTTTTAAATGGAGATCCTCTTAAATGTTACACAGTGGACCTTTAAATTACTTGTGGTGCAGATCTGAAAAATGCAGATTTGATCACTGCAGTAAACAGAACCGCACTGATATGGACTGAGACCTCTGCTGATTTCTGGTGGTCTTTTTGGGGAAAATGTATGTTTTGTGTGAGTGATTTTCCATGGGTGTTTAAAACTCTTCCCTTGTCCAGTGGGTCATAAAGCAGAATCATTCATTCATCATTTCCCCCTCCTTGTTACAAATGAGGAGAGCAGTACCGTTTTGAGCAGATACTCTCTGTATGTCTTGAGTAGAGGGTCAACACGATTTAGGTAGTCCAGACTTAAGACTTCTCCGGCTGATGGGTCGGTCAGACGCTGCCAGTGGATCAAGGTGTGGATGTGGAGAGCAGCTCCATTCATCCACTGCTTCACCTGCCCAAGAAAGGTACAAGAAGAACTTTACACACCCTCACTCTAAAACTACTTCTTCTTATATTTAAAGGACCAGTGTGTAGGATTTAGTGGCATCCAATGGTGAAGTTTCAGACTGCACCGAACTATACCACTGACCTGGGAATGAGCAGAAGGCCTTATCTACAGCCAGTGTTTGGTTTATCCATCCTGGGCTACTGTAGAAACATGGGCGAAGCGAGTGAGTTGCTATCCGCAACTACACTGCTAGATGTCATTAAATCCTGTACACTGGTTCTTTAATAGTAGTTGTAAAAGAAGCAGTAATAACAGATGTACAAACACCATTTTTAATATTATTTGTAATTCTGTAGTTGCTTTGTATCAACGACAAAGCCAACCCCGATAGAGCTGAGAGCGCTCCTCTCCAATGACACCATCCTTCCATAGAAGTCCATCAGCTCCAATCGCAGCTTTGTCTCGTAGCTCTTCAACAGTGCCGCCATCTGGTCCTGGTCATTGGCTGCGCCGGGAATCTGCATGAGAGACAATTTTTAGATTGAATCATCTTGTCTTCAGACTCTAGTTCGTTAAATGATATATTGTATTATTTTGCATACTGGTAAGTACAATATAAGAACAATACAAATCGCTCCATATGTCTCAACAACTTTCAACAGTTCTGCACCTGCAGATGAACTTATGCTGCATACTTGCCATTTTGGATATTTTACTGATCCCTCAGAGAAAATTTAGTTTAGAAGTTCTACTTAAATACATAAAATCTTAAAATGCATATTGTTATGATGGTGATACCACCCAGTTTGAAGAGGATCATATTAGAAAATATGCTTCTTTGCTGCTTTGCTGTCAACTTGTGCATCAGTGCCCAAAACTGGTCAATTATCAACATTTTGTAATATGGGTATAAGAGTATGAGGTAGTTCAAATATACTGTGTGAGAATAAACAGAGATTAAGACCTGTTAATGGTAAGTCTTTAATTATATATTTAGGGTTGGCATAGCAGTAAAACTAAATATTTACTATTTACAAGACCATCTACGTTACTTTTGAAAGGAAAAATTAATCAACACATGAAAAGTTGGATTTGTAAGAAATACCCTTCATTGCGATAGTACTTAGTATGATATGACCAGGAGGTAATAGTGGCTAACATTAGCAAACCTTATGGATGTTGCTTTGTTACTGACCCTGCCAAGTGAGTTCACCAACTTTATGACTCTTGTGTACTTGTATTACTGTTACACAATATTTTAGCATTTAACATTATCCCATAATTGCCACTTGTGGTTGCTGTTTACCAAATTTTACATACTAAACATAAAATAATACAAATAATACAATTAATATGTATTAATAATGGAGTACATCTAAGGTCCAGCCACCTGTTTGAGAAACTCGCTGGCAATGGAGCTGATGTCCGATCCCGCGTCAGCCCCAAACATTCTGCGTATGGGGTTTGGAGGAGTGGAGCGGGCCTCAGGGATCCGCAAGCTCAACTTAGTGGTCTGGTGATGGGCTAGCATCTCAAACAGAACTGAGAGGGCAAGTGCAACAATACCCACTCCTCCATAACTCACCTAGAATCAAGATAGATAGATAGATAGATAGATAGATAGAAAATTACACTCATTTGGACATTATAAAAGACAGAGACAAAGACAAAGAGCTGTTGATTAAATACTTGTATGGTATTTGAGACCAAACAAAAATGGAGAATGCTAATTTCTCAATTTCTTCAAACATATTCATGAGATTTTCATATAATCAAGCCCTAGGCGGAGACATAATCTGTCCATTTTTGTCAGTGACCATCTTATGGATATTATGCATTTGAGCTTTTTGCACATGAATTATTGATGATATACTTGCAAGTGGCTGGTACAAAATTCCTGGTTTGGTATGTACCTTAGTTATGGTGTCTCTGTTCGGTATGTTTTACAACAGCGAAAACAAACCAAAATTAAAGCTGCAAGCAGCATCATGTGTAGACCGCACTGTGAAAATGTCACTTAAAACAGATGATGATTTCCACACAAAGCTTACTTCCTGTTTCCAGTAGGTTGGCATGTAGATGTGTTCAGAGCGGGACTCTTATCAGACATGTGCATTTTCCATAGGGGGCACTGTCGAGCCATTTTTCCACGCACATGTGTGACATCCATCGAATACATAACTTTTCACCACGACTGACATGTGTGTTGCGTTTCACAAGGACTGGACCCAAAAATCTTGTCATAAATTTCACATTTAAAGTGTTTCCACCGACATACCTGACTTCATTTGCAACAGTATGAGCTTGGCTAACCTAGCTAAGCCAACTAGCATGCCACAGTTGATAGACAATGACTGGTGCACTGCTAAAATATTTTGCGGGTAGAATTCCTTTGAAATTTCTGTTCTGCTTGTGCGAGCGCATTGACATAAAATACTTTTGACAGTAATTGCTTGGGTCACAGGACATTCCGAACCGAGGAGGTTGCATACTGAACCTAACGTCCTTTACCGAACAGTTGGGAACCTGTATAATGTGTCTTTCTGCCTGCCGAGACCATCTTTAAGGTTAAACAATAAGGATAGTTACACCAAACACCAGTATGATCTGACCGTTGTGTTTCTTCCGAAGAGAGTTTGGAGGTCATGGTTGAAGGCAGACCTCTGCTGCCGGGTCATACTGCCCTGCAGGGTGGTGTACTGCTGCTCCAGAGCCCAAGAAGAGTTCAAGGACAGCAGAGAGGCCAGTGAGGCATCCAGGGAGGCATCAGGAACCAGGCCTGCATGGCTGGAGAGTTATGGGTTGGACTGATATGGTAAAATGTTCAGAACATTACAAATTACTCAGCTGCTTCACAACCACTTTTGACCACAAAACAATTTCTGCATTTAATTAGCTTTTTGGGATCAGCTGACCCATTACCCACAAAACTGGGGTTACGTCAGGGTTATGTTTTTGCTTAAGAGATTTTAAGTTAACTTTGCTGCCTCTTTGCATACCTGGCGGTGTCGTACAGACAGTCTATGATCTTTGGAGAAGTACTGCAGTGTATTCCCATCTCAGCGTCCAAAGTGACTGAAATTACCTGCACATAAACTGGTGTGAAATTGAAAAACCACAGAAAATTGGCTGTCGCAGACCATTCAGCAGGACGGAACAACAGCACTATGTGCTCAAGCTTCAGTCACTGGGTACAAAGTCTAGACACACGCAGGCAGGATGGCCAGATCCCAACAAACCAAATGCGGAACAAAGAGTATGTTTGTGTGGGACATGTTACTAATGCTAATGGATATAATGTCTATCTAACTTAAGCTTGTGCTAAGCTAAGCTCACTGTGACATATTTGCCATACAGACATGAGAGTGATATTGATCTTATCATCTCTGTCCATTAAGAAAATAATTCTAAAGAATTCTAAACCAGTGATTGCAGAACCGAATATATCAGTTTCCCAGTAGGTTTTCCAACCTGAACTTTAAAAGTGGTCAATAGGTGTGTGCCAGCAATGTCTAGAGGGAAAATGGTTTCAGTTGGAATCTCTCAGATGGTGAAACTGAGCCAAGCACTGAATTTATTTAGAAATATTTGAAATATGAAGAGGTGCTTTCAAAACACTATATGTTTAATAAAATGTCTCTCGCTTTTGTGAGGAACAAGAAAGGCATCAGTACAGACTGCAACCAGAAAATATTGCAATGCTACAGTCTGTCAGTCTTTCGATACACACTCCAGCATTTTGCTGGCGGTCAGATATAGATTTTGCAGAGTGTTCACATGCAACATTTAACAGAAGACACCAGACAATGCAAAGCATTTGGTAAGTTACAAATATTTTACATAAATACATAGCAACTGTACTAAAAGAAAACTCTTTGAATTAACTTAATTAAATCATCTAAAGTATTTCCACAGGATCAAATGGCTTTCTTTCAGCATTAAGCAAATTTAATTAAGTTAATTAAGTAAATTCAAAGAATAACTTTTGAGTGTAATTACATTAAAAAAGTACCACAAACAACACCAGGGTGGAATTAAGCCAACAAATCAGAAGTCGAAATGATTTGTTCTTGTTGGATCAACATGGTTTGATTTCATTCATCAATTTTTTTTCTGAATGATGTCCAGCACATGTGATCCAATCATTTAATTACTGTGAACACAATAGAATCACTTAATACTAACACAATTCTAATTTGCTTATCAAACACATTTGACATTGATCCCAGGGAATGCCCCATGTGTCAAATACAAGCAAAACATTGAGCAAATATGGCAGATCCTTGCATTTTAAGTGTACAGTAGTAACAGTCATACAAGAAAGAAAATTATATAAACCAGGATCTGTCTTGTTTAACATTTGAGAATTTGTCCTCACTCCTCTATCTTCTTTTTTCTAACCACCATGAAAACATTATTTAATAAAAATTCCAGTTCTTCTATCCACTCAAACAGAAAATCTTTTTTTTTACCGTAAAAGGAGGAAGTAAGCATTTTTCCAGTGTTGACACATGGCCAGTGTCAGTGCAACACAGTTAAGTAGCATGTTTTTGCTGTGGTTCTCTGTCCTTTTTTTTTTTTAAGTAAAAAGGTATTGATTTATGATATTATACAATCTGATTAGATCATCTTTACAATTTTGATAATTTGTCATACTGATTTGAAATCAAGTCTCTACTTCATACACAGTTCTAAAAAAAGACCGGATCTCATTGCAGAAATGGCCAGGGTTACCAACTCGATCAAATCAATTGTTCCTAAGCCTGAGGCCATTCTGTCCACCAAACTTCAGGAAATCTATTTTTGAGTGTTTCCTGCTGACATACAGAGAGACGAACATGGGTGAAAACATAACCACCTTCGCAGAGGCGATAAAACCTCCCCTGTTATATCTGTATCTGACACATCGGAACACGTAATGTAATATGTATTACATCAAAACACATCAACCTGTATGAAACTACATACATCAAATTATAGCCCTGTTCTGTGTGTGTGTCTGTGCGTGTAAATCTGTGGATGTGAGGATATATTTTGAGCAGGCTACTGTTACCGTATTTAAACGTACGTACACATAAAATGTCTTCTGTATAAATACATATTGTGAAAAGTACTTCATTTAAAATACACATTTCAAAGTTAGTTAGCCCTACTTTAAAAAACAGTAAGACACAACATTCTCACTGAGCTAAAGTGTGTGATGCCCCATGTTTATAAACTGTAGACTTTTAGCTAACATTTGGCTGGATTTTGTACAGTCCTACTAATGCTAGTAGTAATTTCCGTATGCTATATGTACACAGAGAGTCACAGAGGGCTGTTTCACAAAAAATAGATGGTGGGTTAAACAAGAATTCCAGTTATCCTGGATGAATTTAGTGGTGACTCTGTTTCACTAAAGCAGCGGCACATACAGTAAGTCCCCATGGAGATTTATTCTGTGCAGCTAGCCGGGCCCAGACCAGTTGGTGTACACTCACTTCAAAAAGGTTTTGTGACTTCAAAAATCAATGTCATTAATTTGACACACAGAGAAATCCAAACATAGTTCTAAATTAAATTCATAAAGCATCAAACTAATTTCCTGAGTAACCTCCACTGCCCACAAGTAACTCCATGAGAGAAATGGTTAGTAGCCTAAATATTTATTTTTAGGCTATTTTTCAGTTCAGTCAGTCCGCAACTGTGTTTGCTTTTTTACATAAAATGCTTTACCTAAGCTTACATTATATAAAGTATGTTTAATGAATCTTCTCCATTTCAAGATCAGTAAATCTGTGATTGACATTTATGGTCTGTATCAGGAAATCTGTGCTTTTTCCTTGTAGAAGAAAGCCGGGAATGTGTATTTATCCAAATTACTTAAACCTGGATTCACCTGGCTGCACTAACTTCATCTCCTCAGTCTGGCTTAGCCTTTGTGAAACCTATTAAGCCAGGATGCACTGACTATAGGCTAGGTCACACAGGCATCGTTTTTATCCTTGATTTCATAATTCTGCTTTTGTGAAACAGCCTCCTGTAATTATTCCTCCTGTCCATACTGGTTGTGACTGTAACAGAACCTTAATTAGTATCAGTGGTAACACCTGTGTTTACCCATTAATGTTAAAATGGTTGCTGTGAAAAAGGTCTATTAATGTTATTAACTAGTGTTTGACAAGTCAAAATGGCTGCTCTGCTTTAAAGGCACAATCTATGGTCCAAAATGAATTACAGGGTAGGCCTACCACCAAAATTCTAAATGGAAAATTGGAACCAGCCATTTGTTTCAAGTTAATTCACAGGTATAGTGACAGTAGTAAAAACTAATAGTGAAAGCCAAGAAAGTTGGAAAGACGCTTTGGGTTGGAGGCTTGAAGGTAGCTGATTGTTGAGTCTTATTCCCAGTGTTGATATTTGACGACATGGTAATGAGACTCAACCATCAACTATCTTTCTCAGCTCTGATTGGTTGTTTTTTTGTTCAGGCTCAGTGGATTCTTGCAAATGCCATTAGGGGCACTAGGAGGAGCCAGAGGAACCTGATTTTTTCACAGATTATCTGTCTCGTACTACTGTCAGGATATAGTGAAAGTTTCAGTAAATATGACAAAAAGTTATTTTTTATAAAGGTTACCTACTGCAGCTTTAATCTTTTTATCTCTATATCAAACTCTTACCATACCACTAATGACCACTATACACTTTTTTACCATTATCAAGACATTGTTTAATTAGAAAGCAGTTAAGGTTTAAACAGAGGCTGCACTGTGTTTGCTTGAGTCGTTCCCTTTTTTTTTGCATGCGGTGTGTTCGTCTACTTCTGCTTGTACAGCGTCTGCCCTTACAAAGTGGTGGTGGAGTGCCGTGCCGTGAGTGTGCGCAGGCGGTGAGACGGCGTGTGAGAGTGTGTGTGTATGAGGCTGTGCACAGCGTGTCTGTATCTGGCAGACATCAGGTTGTACAATAAAGGATTGACAGCAGCGCTGAGGTAGAAGAGGACAGAGGACACCAGGTTAAAATACTGAGACAGATAGTATAAAAAATAGTGTGTGTCAGGGTGCGTGTATGTATTGTTGAAGGGTGTGTCAGTGTGTGTGTTATTATATATTCTGTATGTGTCTGTGTCTGCAGTGGGAGGTGTGGAATTATGTGTGTTGTTTTGTGAGTTTATGGAAATAGATGTCCAGCTCGACCTGTTGGTGTGTGTGTCAGTATGAAAGCTAGTATTGGAATGTGATAGTTCTGTGTGTGTACCCGTTTCAGTGCTAGGATCCAGATTGTGTGTGCTTGTGCCAGTGTTTATATGTTGCCCTCTGGTGTGTGATACAATATGAGAATATAAGTGTTTATCTGTGCTCATAGCATCAGATTGTGTGCCCATGTCAGTGTGTGTCTCTGTGTCTGCCAGTTGTGTATCTGCATCAGTGTGCGTGTTGATTTTGACTTTGGTTTTTGCACAGATATCACAGAACATTCCATCTCTCTCTGCGTAAGTGTGTGCAGTCATATTCCCAGTCTTGGAGGAGGTCTTGTCTGAGTCTGACTGGCGGTTGTGTATGTTGATATTTCTGTCTATACTGACATCAGAGAGAGTGTTAATGTCCAAGTGTGAGTTTGTGTCTGTGTATGCTTCCTGTCTATCAGAACCGGTGCCCAGAGAAAGAGAGAAGATGGTCCGACCCACATGGAAGGGCAGCCAACACAGGACAAATGCCAAGACAATCACTCCTGGAGGAGGTGAAGGGACAGAGGGGCAGTGTGGGAAGAAAAACAGAGGGGGAGGACATCAGAATCATTAATAGATTAAGCAAAAGTGATAAGTACAAGTTGTCTCTTATACTAACAAACCAAGATGTAATTAAGCAGTCTCACCAGCTATTCCTAAATCCTTCACTAAGTTAGATGTGAAGTCCTTCCTAGAGATTTTAGTTATGTATATATGTATATATATGTATAACTGGTTGTTAGGACACATCTATTGCTACAGATGCAATTGAATAATTTGTAAGATGAATTGATGAGGAATAATTTAACAGTCTTAACTTTACATTTACTTTTCTTCACAGAAGTGAACCAGATGCTGAGGCCTACTGTGTATATTTTTTAAATTTCTAGCACGCCCTAAAATCAAAGAAGCCTCGAAACCTCCCATGAAGCTTTGGTGACCCCTAGTGGTGTGCCACAGGTTGGGAACCACTGTTTTAGAGGATCCTTTTGCTTGGTGAGAAAAGAGACTTACTAAGAAGCCAAGATGAGCTGTTGTGTTTTTGCTTTTCTGATTCAGTTACTGAGTAAATGTCACAATCATCTGCAGTTCAGTTGGAATTATAGCTAGTAGTGTGTCAGCAGAAGCCCTCAACGCCTGTAGCCCAACCCAGGTTAGTGTAAATAATTGGTCAAAAGTAATCCCTATGGAAGCTCTTGTTTCTGTGTGTTCTTGATTATAATAAAGGAAGAGCCTAAGGGTGTGTTTCTCACCAAGCATTTTGACGGTGTGCCGATGACTCTGGTCTCTACGGCTGCTTTGCGGGCGAAGCCACAGAGTCCGTCCAATCAGGCTGTAAACCAGACCCAAGATGCAGAGGGGTATCAGGAAGTACAAGTTGGAGAGAATCATCATGGCCGACAACAGGCCGGAGGAGACAGCGTAGTGCGTGCAGCGGCACTCTCTATTGTCAATCTCTCCTCCTTGACCTGAAGCAACACCTTCTTCCCTTCCTCCTCCCTCATCTTCTTTCATTTTATTTTGCTGTTCTCCTTTGACTTTCATCTTTCCTTCTTCTTCTTCACCTCCTCCCTCATCTCCTTGTTTTGTCTCATCTCTTTCTCCTACACCCAGTTTCCTCTCTCCTTTCTCTGCAGACCAAACTCTTTCATCCCATCCATTTTTCTCTTTTTCCTCCCAATTTATTCCCTCCAGTGCTCCGTCCATTAAGGCCATATGTCCACTTCCTCTTTCCTTTCCACCTATCATAAATCCGCCCTGTTCTCCTTCCCTGCCGGTCCACCCTCCACCCTCCCTCCATCCGCCGAGCCCTAGCTCTTCTCCCCCAACATCCTCCGCTCCAACCATGACCAAAACTGGCGCTGCACTGACGGCCGCACCCAGCCAGAGGCAGCCAATGAGAGCCCTGGTTCTGCGCCGTGTCACCAGGGTCTTGGCAGTGATTGGCCAGCAGACAGCCAGGTACCTCTCCAGGGAGAGGAAGGTGATGTGAAGGATGGTGCAGAAAGTGCAGCACTCTGAGAGGAACATCGTCAGCTTACATGCAAGGTCTCCTAAGGGCCAGGGCCTGGGCCTCCAGAGCTGGGAGAGACAGAACAAGTATTTTTACGCTGACAACATCTTCATTTTCACCTTTATTCCCCTTTGTGACAACAAAGCTGTCACAAGTTGTTTTAAGGGTATATTCTCAGTTTACAAAACAACCATTAATGTTTCAGTTACAGTAAGGGGATTAAACAAAGAACAGTGGATTTAACCAAGAGCAAAAGTGTGTGTGTCAGAGGATAAATGATGATAGACGTAGATGTGCCAACTGACACTGATTTCCATAAGGGTGAGAATGACGAGAAACATGGTCAGACCGGAACTGGCAGGGTAAAACAAGTATGGGCAGAGTTACCAGTATAAGAACTAGCAAACTTAACTAGCATGGCTGCCCAGCTTCCATTAGTGTTTCTCAAATGTGCCCCTATGTTCACCTCAATAACAAACTGGACTAGACTGATAACACCCATGCTCTCTACAAGAAGGGCCAGATTCGCCTCCACCTGCTGAGGAGACTGAGGTCCTTCGGAGTAAGCAGGGCTCTCCTCAAGACTTTTTATGACTCTGTGGTGGCTTCAGCCATCTTCTATGCTGTGGTCTACTGGACAGGGGGCAGTACGGACAGGGACAGGAAGAGACTCAATAAACTGATCAGGAGAGTGAGCTCTGTCCTGGACTGTCCTCTGGACTCCATAGAGGAAGTGGGTGAGAGGAGGATGTTAGTGAAGCTGACATCCATCATGGACAATACCTCTCACCCCCCACACTGTGGGGTCCCTGAGTAGCTCCTTCAGCAGCAGACTGTTACACCCACGGTGTAAGAAGGAGAGGTTCCGCAGGTCTTCATCCCTGCCGCTGTCAGACTCTACAACACCTGCACCACCTGATCAATGTTGTAGTTTCTTTTTTTTCAAATTACCACCATACCATAGCTTCACCACTTTACTATAGTTATTTTTATATCTGTATTTATTTATTTCACATAAAATGCTTATGTGACAAGGGAATTTCCCCATTGTGGGATTAATAAAGTAATACAATAACAATAACAATATAGTTACTTGGTAACTTGGTAGTACTGCAGGAGTACACAAGATTTTCTTTAGGAGTTTAAAAGTAATTTTAAAAAGTTATGCATAATTCTTTAAATAAGTAAAATAATTATGTTATAATAAGTTCAATAATGTAAATGCCAGTTCAATAAACCATATTTTATATTCAGTATTCCCTATGCCATAAACTGTCAACTACCCTAAAACCTCTAGAAAAGATCACTGTAGTTGCCTCCCTGCCACCAAGATTGAAGGACTAAGTCCATGTTTCTCATTAAATTGTGCAACAAATGCATAAAAGCGCAACTTATCAAAAAGACGCAGTTCAATGCAGCTTCAATGCCATTTGTTAAGCACTTTAAAACAAAACCTAGGTTTGACCAAAGTGCATTACAGGATGAATAAGTAAGACATTTTAAATAGTAGCACATATACAGGAATTTTCGATAAAAGACAAAAAAAAGCTTGAGAACCACATCAATAGCATATATGACATAAATAAAACTTAGAACCAGCCACATAACAAGCAGTCACAATAGGGTTGAAAAGTAACAAATACAAGACAATAAATCAAGTAAGTAAAGTCAGTCATTCCATTACTTTGTGTCCAAAAACTGGTCACAGAGATATTCAATGTCTTCAGAGAACGTTTGCTCAGCCTCTGACTTTTACATTAACAAAATCACTAACAAAAATACTCCAATCACAACTCTCACAACTGCTACTAGTCACCGCAAGCACAGCTTCTATGGCAACTGTCAGTCACTACTGACTGGTAACAGTTGAATAAAGAATAATAATAAAAAAGATTTCTTAACCCATAAAATATTGTGTATTTCCTCACAGTATAATTTGATCTTCAGATCAGAAGAAAAGATAGAATAAGGATCTAGGAACACTCTGTGACATGACCCTTGAGTTTAATAGAAGAAAACTTAATTTGGCAGCAGGGAAACCCCTCAGGGGAAGACAACAAAGGGTTTTTAAAACCACTATTGGAACTATGGTGCTTTTTTATCACCATAAAATGTGTGCATGAAAAAGGTAGCTTGTGTGTGTGTGTGTGTGTGTGTGTGTGTGTGTGTGTGTGTGTGTGTGTGTGTGTGTGTGTGTGTGTGTGTGAGTGTGTGTACCTTATAGAGATCCAGAGGTAACAGTAGCAGTATCAACAGATCACTGACAGCCATGCTGCTCAGGTAGAGGTAAGTAGAGCTTCTCATGTGCGGTCGGAGCCAAACCACCAGAATTGTTAGTATATTTCCCAGAAGGCCGAAGAGCATCAGTGGAATGTAAATGACAGTCACACACACTAGAATGTGAAATATTGATATGTTTTATCAGAGCCACTTTGTATTTATTTCATAACTGTGCACTTTGTTTACATTAGAAGTAGTCACCTGCCAAACAGGGACATTTCTAGCATGTCATTCCTCATATTTCCTTTCTATCACTGACTGTCAAACAAAGGCAAAATACTAAATATATTTAAGTCCTGACTGGTGCACAGACATATTGAGCCCTGCTCTACTTCAAACCAGTTAGAAAATACAGAAAATCTGTGAAATAACTAAAACTCTTCAAACTTTGGCATATAATTGTGTGTTCATGTAGGATCCAATCACTTACAGTATGTATGGAAGCCCATTTCTGCCAATGTGTGGGGGGGAGTTATATAAGTCATTATAATGAGAAACTTTCTCAATATTTTGACTTAGTATCTGAAAATATTGACATAGTATCTCAAAAGTATACTTTCCTCATTATAGTGATATAGAGAATCCTTTTTTTCATCACATTGGTGGAAATGGACTTCCATACTTTACAAATTTAGTTTTTTAATGCTAGGCTTAGCTAACCAGCTACTGGTGGTAGCGTCATATTTACCGTATAGACAGCGGAGTGGTAGCAATCTCTTATTTAACCCTCAGAAGCAAATAAGCATATTTCCAAAAATGTTAAACTAGTGCTTGCATTTTAGAGGTACGTTTTGAATTGTCCAGATACCACAATATGCTTTAGTCAAACAAGATAAAGGTCAAAGTTAAACTGGGGAGACTGTATCACTTGTAACCCCACGTTTTGTTATTTTCCAAAAAATCTTGCCTGGTGCAGCTTTAAATTTTCCATTTACAAAACCTTATTTTCTCTTATTTTCTACCCACCTAACTCAATCAATCCAAACACAGGTTCCTCCCACTGGCACGCTTGGTTTGAGCAGTTCTCCGGGAAGGCGGATGCAAGGCCACAGTTTTCATCCTCGCAGCCACTGCCGACCTCTCCCAGGTCCAGGAGATCCATGATGAAGCAGGGCGGGGTTGGACAGAAAAAGTGGGAGTGGAGAAAGCGGCAGGGGAGAGGTGTGTGTCCCCCAGGTTACAGGGCACAGTGGTGACGCACACAGATGGATTTCCTATGGCGCTCGATCAAAACTAACACTGAAGAGGGTGGTCAGGGTGGAAAAGGGCTGTCTGGTCAGAACAAAAGAAAAAAATACATATGGATCAATTTATAAGAAATCCCAAATACAAATGTATGTAATGCAAATCAACACTACAGGCCACTGATTATTTAACTTTTAGTTCAGTATCCCTAAAAAGATCAATCTTTCTTAACACTGAGAAAACACACATCTTCAATATCAACACAGTTACTTGTCATTAGTTTGTATCATTGAAACTATCGATACCAATGAAAATGGATCCATTGAAAAGACAGCGTCTCACTTTTGCACTTTTCTGTACTTAAAACTGTACAATTTTTACAGCTCCAAAAAATACACACACCCACACACACACACACACACACACACACACACACTACCACACACAAAAGAAAAAACAGAAACTTTAACATCAGGTAAACTCATATACTCACTGATTGAGAGGAGCTTCAGTGCGCGGTGTATCTCTCTGGTCACACACTTGTGCTTTGGCGGTGACTTACACACACATATGTCCATCTCTCCCCTCACTAACTCACCCCCCTTATTTCTATCTCTCTCTTCCTCTCTGTCTCATCTTTTACTGTCTGCACTACCCTGTGCACGTAAAGGACCAGTGTGTAGGATTGAGTGGCATCTAGTGGTGAAGTTGCAGATTGCAAGAAGAGAGAGGAGAAGAGGAGAAACTACGGTGTCCACGAAACACACACAACGGTCTTATCTAGAGCCAGTGTTTGGTTTGTCCATTCTGGGCTACTGTAGAAACCTGGTGGTTCAACATAGCGGATTCCGTAGAAGAGGACCCGCTCCCTCTGTAGATAAAAACAGCTCATTCTAAGGTTACAAAAACAAAACAGTCGTTATATTCAGGTGATTATACACACATACCTATGAATATTATATTCCATTTATGCCAACAGATCCTCCTAAATGTTACACACTGGACCTTTAAACTGTTTTACATTATGCCATCATAATGTAAAATCCCTGCATTCGATTTCCCATTTAAAGGTCCTGTGTGTAACATTGAGCAGGATCTATTATCAGATATGGAATATAATATTAGGTATGTTTTATTAGCGTATAATCAACTGAATATAAGAGTCATTGTGTTTTTGTTACCTTATAATGAGCTGTTTTTACAAACACTGTGGGTTGACTTCCATGGAGTCCACTATGTTGAACCATCATGTTTCTACAGTAGCCCAGAACGGACAAACCAACACACTTCTAATGCCGCCTTTAGCTCAGTTGCCAATGGGACAATGAGTGATGATGTATTTTTACCCACATCTCTTCTGTGGAGCTGTTTATACTCCGACAGAGGAGGTTAAATAAAAAGATGGTAGCTGCTGATAGCGTCTTCCATTTTAGACTGTCAGACCTTTTTATCCAAGTTCAATTCTGCTCTTCTCCTCAAACAGATTACTGGGATTCCCATGGAATGCACTGTAAATGTTGCTGTTTTATATCCTGTGGTGTCCAGTCCTTAATGTGGATGGAAAGAAGAGAGAGCAAAGGTCTTCTACACAAAGGTTCCATTCATATTTTGGACTTTACTATTTTAATAATCTTGAAAAATTACCTCCTCCTACCTTTAACAGTTATTCAAATGAAACCATGTGAGATGTTTAAATGAAAAATGTCTTATTGGTGGAAAAAACCACACATAGATATCAGAACCATGACAAGGGGCCCCAGCTAGACAATGATTTATATAAGAAGCTGGGGACCACTGGTTTATTCTTTCACCATTCTGAGGAATAAAGAATTGCAGATTTTACAATAATTCTTGATTGAAAAATTAATATAAAATATTGTGTTTCCTCACAGTGTAATTTGAACTTCCATTGCGACTGTGCAGTGGAAATGATAGAATAATGATCCAGACACTACCAATCTGTCCTGCAGCTGTCCTGCTCATGTAGATCTCAAGGGAAACAAAGAAGTGCAGGTAGAGGAGTCAGTAGAAAATGTACTTATAGACTGTAACAAATATGAACAGGAAGACAATGACTATTTCTGTATGAATACCAATGTATATTATAGTTAGCTTGGTGTGAATAAACATTTGGGTTAACTGAAATATAAATAAAATAGTTAACGCGTCACGTGGCTACGAGATAGTAACGCGTGGGCACGAGATAATTATTGCAGTCGTTTCCATGCAGAGACTGTTGATTGTTAAGAAGGACAAGTTTGAATAACACAACAAACAACACATCTCATTTTATTTTAATATACCACAACACACCACAACACAACACAACACAACACACCACAACACAACACACCACAACACAACACAACACACCACAACACAACACAACACACCACAACACAACACAACACACCACAACACAACACACCACAACACAACACAACACACCACAACACAACACACCACACACAACACAACACAACACAACACACCACAACACAACATACCACAACACACCACAACACAACACAACACAACACACCACAACACAACACACCACAACACACCACAACACAAATGAGACTGATTTGTGGACGTCATCATGTCTTCTTCTTCCGATGACGTCACTTCATAACGTTCCCATGGCGACAGGAGGAAAATGGCTGCTCTGGTGTGAAATAAACACAACATTTTTCCACTTTCTGCGAACATATAACGTTATGTGACTTCTGCAACGAAAGTGCAGGGATTATGAAACCATGCAAGCCCCGCATATTTCGCGCATTTTGCGGGGAAATCGGCGATGTATGCGGCGAAAGTGCGGCGTGTTTGAAAATAAATGAATGTGCGGACTCTGGCTGATTATGTGTTAAATTAATCGCGTTTTTCTGGAGGGACTGCATTTAGCATTACCAACAGGGACATGTCCGGCTGCTCTTAGACGTAAGCTCCTCCAGCCCGTCATAGCATTATTATTGACATTACACTCGCCATGACAATAATAACAAAGCTACTCTTGAATACAAAAGCAGACTATAAACTACCACCGAAGCGGAAGGTGGCGCTAATGCTTCTACAAGCTGGTTGCCAATGTGCATTAATAAAACAGAGGAAGAAGCAGTCTTTGACGATCAGTGAGTGAAGATGGCATTGAGAGCTGCACTGAGGAACAAGTGTGGCTTATCGGGTATGTCTGCGTGTGTCGGGACATGGCGGAGAGGCCGTCTGAGTGTATGCTTCGTTTTTTTGCAACGGAATGTCTTAAACGTAACAGTTGTTATCTCCCTGCCGGTGGTTAGCTGTGCGAGCTAGCTGTGCTAGCAGAAACTGGAACAAAGGTCACAGGACACTGCAGGGCTTTCAGCTAACAGTTGTTAGAAACGTTCAGGGTGTTTGCATGTACACCTGCAGTTAGTGCCATTATACAGCATGTCAGGTTAGAGCTGATATGGTATTAAAACTGCAGGCGTAAGGTAAAGTGATCAGTAGAAATATCACAGCTTCAACTTAAAGGATATTGATATTCTGAGGAGGAATGTGTCTGCTTTCATGAAGTATTCACAAATAAGAAACATACTTTATTTTATCATATGTCATGTGGATTAAATGGCCAAGCAGATGGATTCACTGGCGATATCGAAACATTTACAACACTTCTTTTTTCATCCCACCTGTGTAATTTCTTACGTTATTATGTCTTTTGTGTCGTTTTATTATGTGCAGAAATAAATGAAGAAGATCACATTTAATGTTGGCAGCTATTGATAAATTGATTAATGGTTTAAGTCGGTGGTTCCCTACCTGGGGGTCACAACGCCTTCTTGATTTTAAGGCGTTTAAGAAAAACTTTTTAAAAATATGAACAGTAGGTTGTATCTCAACATTTTGTTCAAGTTTGAGAAGAAAAGTAAATGTAAAGGAAGTTGCCTAATAGTACAAAGGCCAAGCGCCAGAGACTAGATCAATCACTAAATTTGTCAAAAAAATAAGTATTTAAAAAGTATTTATGATTGTTGTTGTCATTATTATTATAATAATAATAAATAATAATAATAATAATAATTAAAGCTGCAAGCAGCGTTGAGCGGGACCTCGCACTCCACGCAACTCGGGTCGTGATGCGGCCGCGCCAGGTGCCGTCGTTACACGTGCGGACCAAAACATGAAATTTCACGCAAATCAGCTCAAAATTGCCACGCAGTGCTTACTTCCTGTTGTCAGTAGGTGGCGCTATCACTATTTCTGAATATTGTCATGTAGACAAGTTCAGGGCGGGACTCTTATCAAACACGTGAAGTTTCATTGAGACTGGACCACGTACGCTGAAGTTATGAGGACGTGTTCAGGGCAAAACTGTTTCAGAATATAGTTTATTGGAGATTGGACATTGCACACTGAAGTTATGAGTGCTGTTTTATGGCGAATCTGGTGAAATGGACAAGTTGTCACTGGCACGCGGTTTAATGTACAGTCACAGCTCAACTTTTCAATCAGTTTGTATGACGACAGAATTCAAAGTGGCCAACTTTGACCTCACGCCACAGACACGCCGTTCAACGTACAGTCTCAAATAGCACAACTTTTAATCAGCACCAATTTATGACTGGACTGACCAATTTTGAAGCAGATCCGATAAATTCCCTAGGAGGAGTTCGTTCAAATACAACACGAAAAAATCACCGAAAATGCGCACGGAATTCACTATGGCCAACTTTGAGGGCACGCCACGGACACGCCCTTCAACATACATGCACAAATAGCACAACTTTTAATCAGAACCATTTTTTGACTGTATGCACAAATTTTGAAGCATATCCGATAAATTCCCTAGGAGGAGTTCGTTCAAATACAATGCAAAAGTTCGCCGAAAGTGAAATTTTAAATCAAAATGGCCGACTTCCTGTGGGGTTTCGGGTATGGGTCCAAGAGGCTTTTTTGTACGTCCCGGCATGTTACACGTGCCTACCGAGTTTCGTACATATCGGTGAAACGTGGCGCCGGGGCTGCTGTTTTCTTATCCTGTAGGGGGCGCTACACACACGACCAACACGATTTTTGGTATGTGAGCTACAGGCCCCACTCTACACGTGCCCTGTGAATTGCATATTCATAACTATTACGGCCTCCGCACAGTGATTTACCATGCCACCAGAGCGCCACCTAGTGGCGGATTGTTGACACATTTTTTAGCAAGCCTCAGGGAGCCATGGGGAAGCATCGTACTAAGTTTCATCTTAATCACACATACCGTTGTAGAGATATAAACTTCTACATTTTAAAGAGCGCCACCTAGTGACAATGGCCTGAAATTGTGCACGATGCTTAAGGAAGACATGTGGAACTATGTACCCAATTTTGGTGTCAATTGGACATACCAATGTGGAGAAATGGTCCACTTCCTTTTTTGACGAAAAATCTACAGGAAGTTAGAATTTTATAGCGTTCTTATTTTTTGAAATTTCAAAAATGTTCAAATTACTTTTTTTATTACTCTTTTTGCCAGGGCGGTCCCCAGTTGCTAGGTGAAAAAGTTTGTGCGAATCGGACAAAGCGTGTAGGAGGAACACGAAAAAGTAGTTTAAGGACATTTTGCGCTCTAACGAAAAACAATTATAGGTGGAAGTGGGCGTGGCCTATATGGGGAGATTCAGCTCCATTCACCGAACGCGTGGATACAAGGTTTTTGAATGTATGACAAACTATGCAGAAGTTAATAGCATAAACACATTTTTTATGATACTAGCGCCACCTAGTGGCCAACCCAAAAGCAACCCATAGAATATCCCCATTTTCACCAGGCCTGACAACTTTGCCAAATAAAATTGACTTTTCGTATATGTTCAGGGGGGCAAAAATGCAGTCAAAGGGGGCTAAAAATAATAGGTAAGAAGAAGAAGAAGAAATCAAGCAAAAACAATAGGGACCTTGCCGGTCGCTGGCTTAGTCCCTAATAAAGACAGAGAATTGTGCAAAAAGTTCCCTTAGCAGGAACCTATCTGCTTAAAATGAATCTAAATCACTTGTTTTACACAAACTGTTCACTGTTTGGATTCATTGTACAGTTTTGAATATAATATGAAATGTCAATAAAATATATGTGTCACTTAGTCAGGGGTCATAAGTTTGTTACATGACAGAAAAGGGGTCCCTTAAGGTAAAAGACTGGGAACTAATGGTTTAAGTCAATAGTTCCCAGACACTGGGTCATGACCCACATATGGGTCGTGGGGGATTTTATTTGGGTCACAAATACATCTTCAGAATTTCTTCCTCCTGCTAAATGCAGTTATTTTTGTACGATGGAAAAATGAGATTCTTAGCTGCTAAACACAGCTCGCGTCTGTATTTGACGACTTGGGAATGAGAACAGACTGTGAAGTTTGTAGGAGAAACTACGGTGGCCGTGAAAATCACAAAAATACATCAAAATACCCTATCTACCGTCAGTGTTTGGTTTGTCCGTTTTGGGCTACAGTAGAATCATGGCGGTTCAACATGGCGGACTCTGTAGAAGAGGACCCCCCTCCCTCTGTAGATAAAAACAGCTCATTCTAATGTAACAAACATGATTCTTATTTTCAGATGAATTGGCTCTTCTTGCTGTGAACTGGGTCATCATAGTTTTATTTGTCATTTTTAAAAAGTAGGTCCCCAGAAAAAAGTTTGGGGAACAATGGTTGCCACACAATTGCACATTCCAGCTTGTGTGTGTGTGTGTGTGTGTGTGTGTGTGTAGGTCTCCTTTCTGTGCGGTCCTCCTGCAGCAGTCATGGCAGAGTGTGTGCGTCCCCCGTCGCTCAGCAGAGAAACAACTCCACCTCGCCCAAGATCAAAGTGGATTTTGACCAAAGCACAGGTAAAGACTTTACCATCATCACTGTCTCCATCCTCTCTCTCTCTCTCTCTCTCTCTCTCTCTTTGTCTTTCTCTCTCTCTTTCTCTCTTTCTTTTTTATTTTAAAGCCCCCTTTCACACATGAAACCAATCCAGACACAGGAGTGGATTTCAGCATTCACATAAGCTTCTTGTATTGAACAATTGTCATCTCAATGTGAGCGTTCCGAAGATTTAAAGCATTTTCTCCTCATAGCAGTCTGGTAATACAGACACAGCTGAGTTCTGGCAGCCTGCATACATATTTTTTTTAGTTTTTATTTCATTTTGGAATGAATCTGTACAGAATTCAAGTCAATGTATTCAGCTAAGCTCTTCCCCTCTCTCTGTAGGTGTGGCAGTGATGCAAATGCAGAGTCCGCCAGTCAACAGCCTCAGTTTAGATTTCCTCACGGAGTTCAGCATCGCCACAGAGAAGCTGGAGATGGACAAGAGCTGCCGAGGCCTCATCATCACCTCGGTACAATATAACCTCACCGTTTAAAGCAGCAGAGCCCTTGTGCAGGAGGTTTAAGATGTGTCTTCTTGTGTTTGTGTACAAGGTGGTTGTACATTATAAAATCCTTCTAATAGCATAGTGAAAAAACTCTTAAGGCCAGTTTACACTATTACTTTTAGCCCTGATTCTCCACTCATCAACTATTTTGGGAGACTGTTGACAAATGCCTCCAGATCTAAGTCTGAGTCTACATTGACAGTTGACCCTGAGTGTGTGCGTGTGTGCTTAGGTGTATCTTTTTGTGTGTGTGTGTGTTGCATCAATCCAGAGCCAGCCCAAGGTGTTCTCAGCCGGGCTGGACATCATGGAGATGTACATGAAGAGTCCAGAGCACTGTGGAGAATTCTGGAAAGCCGTTCAGGAGATGTGGCTGAAGCTCTATGGCTCCAACATGGTCACTATAGCTGCCATCAACGTACGTATAAATCAAACAGAAAAAAAAGGGCGAAACGTCTTGCAGATTACCCCTCAGCCTACATCCCCCCCCCCTCCTGCCACAGGGTTCCAGTCCTGCAGGAGGCTGTCTGATGTCTATTGCATGTGACTACAGGATAATGGCGGACAACCCCCGTTACAGCATCGGCCTTAATGAGACACAGCTCGGCATCGTAGCACCTTTTTGGTAAGCAATTATTAGCATGACAACACCTGCTTTGGTTATTGATGTTAGTAGTCACACAAAATCAAATAATCAATAATTAACAATTCCTGCTGCTGTCTGCAGGTTTAAGGACACCATGATCAACACAGTGGGCCACCGAACCACAGAGATGGCTCTGGAGTTGGGGATGCTCTACAATCCTTCAGAAGCCCTGAAGATAGGACTTGTGGACCAGCTGGTACCTGAAGACCAGGTCGTCACCACCGCCACACAGACCATGACCAAGTGGTTGGCTATTCCAGGTACAGTGGCAATGTGTACAAAGCACACCAATCAGAACACACTAAGTATTTACTGATTTCTGAGCAAAACTATATTTCAGTTCCAGTTTGAATTTAAAGCCAATACGAACATGAATACTAGATAAGAATAGGTTACTTTGGTTGGAGGTCCGTAAACCTCACTTTGGGAATCAGTGTGCTGACTGTTCATCTGTTAACTTCACAGACCACGCCAGACAGATCACCAAGTCCATGATGAGGAAGCCAACCATCGACAAGCTAACGTCCAACAGAGAGACCGACATCCAATACTTTGTCAACTTCATCACCAAAGACTCCATTCAGAAGTCGCTCGGCATGTATCTGGCAATGCTTAAAAAGAGAAAGGGCTAGAGGAGACTACTTATACACATCTGCCTTCAGTGTCCTGTGTTTGCTGGTGTCAGTTGTGCTAAGAGCCTTGAATGCAGCTCTCTGAACCTAAACAAATGAAATAATGATTAAAACTGACCGTACACTAAGCCGTGACCCACATTATAGCAACCCCTGTCAAGCTTCCTTTCTCGCACAACACGTATGCAGTTTACTATAATGGTGGCAGATTTACCATCAGAAATTTGCATTATTTATTTATTTGAATGGGAATAGACACATGAGTAAACTTCACACGTCAAATGTTGCAAATGTATGATATACTATGACATGCTCCTTGTAACATCAGCCTACTACTACATGCTAGCATTTTAAGCATACTCTTTATCCATCCATCCAGCACAGAGCACTTCACCCTCTTTAAATCCTGAGTGTAACTCTCACATTGCTTCGACATGTTGAGAAATCCAAAGTTTGATAGACCAGCCGTGCCGAGTTATGGTTGCTAAGCTATGATTGGACAGTTGCTGTTTGGGGGAGGGGTTTAGTAAACGGTCACTTTGTCACAGTCAGGTCTTCACCATTCACAGTGCCTAGCCTTACTGTACCTTCATGAGCCATAACAACTATAAAGTAAGCCTGGGTGTATTTGAATAACCCACAGTGAGTGGAGCTTTTGTAATCGCTAACAGATTTATCTACATCAAATTTTTCTAACTTCTTTTCTGCTAGAATTTTTAGAATAAATGGATGTGTATATGTGGATGCATTGGTGTGATTAAAGAATTAATTGAATGGTCAAAATCCCATTGTACTATTCATTTTTTCAGTACTTTATCTCAGGAGACTTAAAAAATGATCCTCATGGTCTCATTGAGAAATAAGTCTCGCTTTATATACCAGGTAAAAAGTACCAGTACTGTCAGTTTGGAGGTGACAGACACGTACTGCTGCTCCTACTGGTGTTATGATTCGCAGAAAGCGTCAGGTGAATGTGCTAAGATTTTGAATTCCCACCACTGAAACTGGTGCGTAATGCACTAAAAGGGAATAGACTTCTGTTTGTGCCGCTCAATGACAGTATATATAACATGGAGCTTCAGTGTCTATAAAGTGAAGCCATCATTCTATGTGATGGCCAGCAATGGCCAGTTCCATTGTCTCCAAAAAAAAGCGATAGTATGGAGAAATGATCTGACTTCTGACTTGATTTATGAGCTCAGTAAACGGTTTCCTAATGAGTTTATGGTCTCACTTGAATAAAAGATTAGACTTTCAGATTTTTCACATTGCTGTTTCAGAAGCAAGTTTGCAATGAAATTTGGTAGATTTGTTTATTGAATTATTAAAATTATTATTAATTCATGGCTGCATGGATAGCCAGAGTTCCCCTGCTGGGTAGTGTAAGTCAGATTCAGCCTAGGGTCCTGTGCAAGGGTTGTGGGAGTCGTGATTCAGGCAGCAGCAGCCTGGCCAATCAGCTTCACCTCCACAGGGAAATGGTCACTGACGGCCAATGCCTGAGAGAGATAATGTAAACAAAAAAGAAGTTAAGCAAGTGTTGTTATCTTGTATCATATGTTTTATTATGTACTGTAAAACAAAATGCATTTTTCACCAGCATCTCTAAACGACTATTTACAGTAAACTTATTTAAGCCAAACAGCTAAAAATTCATATAATAATAATAATATCTAATTAGCATCATTTTCTAGAGCGTACCACAATAATCGTTTCTTACTCTGTAAAGTATGATTTTTGGATCAAAATTGTCAACAATAAAAACAAGAACTGGTTAAAAAAAAGGACAGTTTGCTGTTGTATTGGGGGCTATGGGTGGGACCATTCTTATTTAAGAAACAGTCTAGTACATAACCCTCCATCAAACGGTGGATTGTTGTTCTTACACTACAATTAGAGAGTTTTGGAGGTGCCAGGCTACCTATTTCCTCCCGTTTCCAGTCTTTATGCTAAGCTAATATAGCAAGCAGGATTGGTTGGTATCTTCTCATCTAACTCTTCACCAGAAAGCCAAAGCATATTTCCTCAAATGTATTCTTTTAAAGATTAAGTTAACACAACATGAAAGGCAGTGTTTCATTGACCCCTGCTTCTTCAGTCTGTTTAACCTGTAACCACACCCAACAGTGATGTCACCGTGCACTGACCATGCCCTGACTACATCACTGCTGCAAGGTGAAAACACAAACTACTGGCAATTGAGCTAAAGCAACATCTTCAGCATGTGTTAAAGCTGCAGTAGGACATTTCTATAAAACTTTCGCTATATCCTGACAGTAGTACATGAGACACATAATCTGTGAAAAAACGAGGTTCCTCTGGCTCCTCCTTGCTCTCCTAATGTCATTTGCAAGAATCCACCGGGCCCGAATGAAAACAACCAATCAGAGCCAAGAAAGATATAAAGATGCTTTGGATTGGAGCCTTGAAGATGGTTGATCGTTCCGAGCATCAATATTTGACGTCCTGGGAATAAAACTGAACAATCAACTATCTTTTTTGTTCTTCATTAGTTCACAGATTATCTGTCTCATGTACTATTGTCAGGATATAGTAAAAGTATCAGCAAGTATGACAAAAAATGACCTACTGCAGCTTTAATTTCCTCTTTATAGGCCACACTCTTTTTGTACCTTGCGACTGAAGTGAAGTGAATTGTATTGCAGAGGAGAACTGAATCTAAAGTTGTTTTTACCAGACTGTGGCTGAGATTCAAATCCATCATGTAGTTGTAGACCTTGGCGCTGCCCTGCACCACTCCCTTCATCATGTCAGTGGTGACCACAATCCTGTAAATATAGAAAGAGGGGTTGAATTAAAGGTTATATCTATCTAAGATTTAGAACATTAACATAACAGCAAACAACTATTTGCTATTTAAAGATATCATGGAATCATGGTGTTCTGAGCAGAGAATGATTCGTCCCACACATTAAGGATTTATTTCAACCAAACCAGAGTTGGTGATTGCTGGAAGAGTTTAAAGACTAACAGAGACTGTTTTGGTGATCATTTGGTGTCTGGCAAGTTTGAATTGAATTTTGTGATTATCCGCAAGGTTAACTTACTGTTTTTGTCTATGGAATCTGGTGGCGAGTGATAGCAATACATGGGCCTTTTCAGGTTAATCAAAGAGTCTGTCGCTGTAGGGATACTTTCTATAATGTTGTCAGACATATACAATAACAATCTGAGCCTGCCAGTGCCAGTCACCTTTTTTGAGAGTTGGTCATTGTTGGAATAATAGAAAAACTAACGAGGACTGTCTTAGAGAGTTTTATTTTGTTTCTGTCAGTTTAAAGTTGATTTATGATCTGGGAGGTAAAATTAGTCTGGCACTCCAGTTTTTGACTTGTTTTGGTCTGAGATCCTGTTGCTTCAGTGCAACCTTTAGCCTGAAAGTTGTATACAGCACCTGTAAGAGTCTATGTGGGCATCTACCTGTCATAAGGGCAGTTAGTGTGTGACACTGTGGTGTCGGCCTCATCGGCGATCAGCCAGTGGAAGCTCTTGTCGGTGAAGAGGCGGATCTTCTGCCATTCAGAGCCTGTTACATAGCTGCAGCCAGCGTTGAAGTCTCCCAGCAGCATGATGTCCTGCAGGGAGAGTGAAACAATTCAATCACATCTCATACTTTACCACCTTAATTATCCTTTGCACTCCATCTCGTTTTCTGCAATGGCACTAAAAGACTTTTTTAATGTGTGTGTGTGGGTGTGTTTGTAGAGTGGAAGAGAGTATTCACGTTGGTGTCCCAGCGGGTGCGGACATCAGCCACCACATCATAGAGAGCATTCACTTCCTTCACAGCAGAGTCTGGAGAGGTGTGCTGGGGGATCAGAACAAAGTCCTTCACAGCTAGAAAGCAGGAGGGAGGGAGGAGTGAGTTTTGGATATGGCAGACATACATCATATCACAAATAGGGAGCTTAAATTTGTAGTTAACAACCTAGTTTGGCTGATATGCATCATCTATGGTGGTAAGTAGAGTTAAAGTGTAGCTATTTGCAGACCTCATGACCTCAGAATCTCATCCTACCTGGGGTGTGTCCGGGGGGGCTGTAATCTGATTGGCCACCCCAAGTGCCCCCCTATTAGCCTTACCTCTTCCACTCCGCACTGCCTTTCAAAGGCTGCAGTGGGCTCTGTTTTGTGAAAATACTGGTATCATATGAAACTAGATAACCTAAAGCATCCATTGGTACCCAGCATGTCATACAACCTTACCATCTTGGCAAGGGGACCAAAGAACGCATGTGGTATAAAATGTGTTATTTTTGAATAGTGTATTAGAATATTTCTGCACACTGGGGTCCATAAACAGTATTGGAATTGCATAAATTGGGAATGACAGGAAGACTGAAACACATACTTTTTGCCACCCCTGTAAAGAAAGTGTGGAAACACCCCTGCATCCTACATAAGTCAGGCGTTTAGATGGTGGAAAATCACTATCACTCTTCCAGACCCTACCGGTGTATTTGGACGAGAACATGACAACGAAGGGCTCTCTGCTGAAGGTGTCCGTCCCGCAGGCCTCACAGCCGTCATCGTAGGTGTAGTTTTTAACCACAGACACCGTCTGCTCTCTGGAGAGGAATGATACCACTTAACCTCATGTGTTTTACTGCACTGTGTTTTCCCTCTCCATGTGGAGGGCATATTGTTGTTCAGCTTCATCTCTGGTGGACTTATTGCCTGTAAAACTTCACGTTTGAAAAAGATTTCTAACAGTGAGGCAAGGCCCATCAATTCTCAGTCACAGCCAGTTACAGCATTACTCTAGCATTTTCAAAAGTAATTTCTAACATTGAACTTATTAGACTACGTCAGTCCTGTGCCTTCTCATGGCCACTAGTAGATCGTCTAATCCTGAATGAGGGAATGTGAGTGAAGATTTTTCACATTTAACATGCATTTTATACCAAAAAGGTTCAAAGCCAGAGCAATACTGTATTACTAAATAAAGCTTGACCAAAATACATTATGTATTCATCAGCATTTTATGTAAAAGTGTAAATTCATGATACAAATGTACGCAGTATTTTGTTCCTAATATGCAAATGTATGACATATAGACATTTCAAATGCATTTTTAATTTCACAACACATTTGCAAGCATTTGCACCAAAAATACACTTTGGTTATGCAGATTTATCTAAACCTCCAATATGCTATTGATTGCTATATTGCTATATTGAACCACCTTTCATAAAAGCAGTGGAGAAAAGTAACTAATGTACTCTAAGTATACTTAATAACAATTTTTACTTGTATTTAACCTGAGTGTATCCATTTTCTATTACTTAAAGGTCCAGTGTGTAACATTTCGGAGGTTCTATTGTCAGAAATGGAATATTATATTCATACGTATGTTTTCATTAGTGTATAATCACCTGAATACAAGAATCATTGTGTTTTCATTACCTCAGAATGACCTGTTTATCTACAGAGGGAGCAGGCCACCTTCCATGGAGTCTGCCATGTTTCTACAGTAGCCCAGAACAGACTCAGAACCAAAAACTAACTCTAAATAGAGCCGCTATTTCATGCATTTCACAGCCACCATTTCTTCTCCCTCGCGCTTCGAAAGGCAGGGTGAAGCAAGTGAGTTGCAATCTGCAAGTACAACACTAGATGCTACTAAAACCTACACACTGGACCTTTAATAAATAATACATTTAAATACTTTTAGTCCACTACATTTTAAAGGGAAATATTTACAATTATGTCACAGCTATACTTACTAGTTATTTTTTGGACTGAGATACATACACAACAATTTTAGCATACATTATCATATATGAGACATTGTATCAAGTAGTTTAAATTAGTTCCACTAAGACCTGAAATGTGTCTTACATTTTTATGCTTCAGCAATAATAATCTAATAATGTAATATATAAAAGTGTACATTTGGCTAATAATGCTTTTGTACTTTTACTGAAGTAAGATTTTGAATGTGTGACTTTAAAGGACCAGTGTGTAGGATTTAGTGGCATCTAGTGGTGAAGTTGCAGTTTGAAAGAAGAGAGAGGAGAAACTACAGTGGCCACGAAACACACAACAAAATCTTATCTAGAGCCAGTGTTTGGTTTGTCCATTCTGGGCTACTGTAGAAACTTGGCGGTTCAACATGGCGGACTCCATGGAAGAGGACCCGCTCCCTCTGTAGATAAAAACAGCTCATTCTAGGAGTGATTATACACTAATGAAAACATACCTATGAATATTATATTCCATTCCTGACAATAGATCCTCCTAAATGTTACACACTGGACCTTTAACTTGTAGTGGAGTATTTAAACAATGCTGTATGGCTACTTTTCATATACAGTAAGTACAGCAGAGCTGTATTGAGAGTAAGTAAAGCTTTAAAAATAAATATTTCTGTTTCTGTTCTCTGATTTCTACAAAAGATAGTTTTAGTGTTGCAATGGCTGCCTACCTGTAGAGGAAGAGATATCTCTCCTTGTAGGAGCTGCGACCTAGTGGCTCACTGACGATGTGACTGTACCTGAACTGAGGAGAACCTCTGGGAAAACACACACACGCACACAGGTTAAGATAAGGAGATAAGGAGGGTCATTTTGTTTATCATGTATCATAATGTGAGTTTATGAGCTGTCCACTGTACTACAAACTATAAATCATGCTTTGGACACCGTATTGTGTGTGTAATAGTATGCTCTGTACAAGGTGCGTGGTTAATCTAACTTGTTGACATGCTCCATGAGTTTTTTGGTCGCTGACAGATCGCTGTCTCTGACCTCCTGGATCAGAATGATGTCATAGCGGTGGACAATCTGAAAAGCACAAAACCACACACATCTGATTTAGGTACAAGTTTTTTATTATAGTTCTTTAAAGCATGGTTCTCCTAAAACAGACAAGAGGTGAAGCAACAAAAGTGTATTTTGCATCCACTATCCTTTTTTTCTTTGACTGTATCTCACCATAAATACCCACATGTGAAATATATGTGAACTACCAGGAGGTTGCAGGAGTTGGTTGCACATTAGCAACATAAAAATAATATTCATATCCATAAGGTTGGGGGACTCAAAAGGCATAGATTGATAGATCCCTTAATTTAGGTATGGATCCTACATTACCCATGATGCCACCATTAGAATTTCATAATGTCTTTAGACCCTCCTTGCCTAGTAAATGACAATGGCTTTCTATGCCCCCAGTTTGGAATGTGCTGTACATTTCTATTGTCCAAGCCTAAGCTCATACATATAACCCTAATGATGTCATTATGATGTCACTGGGGTTACTTTATCATCCAGAGCCACAGGCGACATACCGTACATACATCAGTGAACTCAGCCAGTGCAGTGCCCCTTTACAATAATAATGTACACACTATAATTATGCTGGAGAGAGAGGTTACACACCGTGCTGATGATGTTCATCAGAGTTGCATTGGAGGATTTCTTGTCTCCAAATGACTTGATGTTGAAGGCTCCCAACAGCAGAGAGGAAGAAAGATGCAGCAGGGCCAGAAAAAGGCCCAAAGCACACACCAAACGCATCCTGGGCCAAAGAGGTCAGAAATAAAAAAAACTTCACATTTATAGCAATTTATAATTATAATTTCGTCTTGATTGCATGACAGGGAACGCATGCTGTAGTGCAGTTGTAATGCATGTCACAGGACCCTGAAAGCCTCTTCTTCCCTTGGCCTTAATGTGGGAGCGACAGACGGACGTAACACCTGCACCCCTGGACACATGACAACATTAACAAACCTATTCCTGGTACTTTATCTAACTGCGAGTCGGCAGCTTAGCGTCTGATGTGCCGCTTTTTGCAGAGGCACAATTCATGTTGCAATGTAAAATATTACTCCAGTAGTAGTATATTATCCTGTTACCCTGGTTACACTGGTGTGGAAGTGATGGGCAAAGGTTAAATATGGAAATTGAAAGCAGCAGCTGTAGTGTGGTGACTTTTTGTTACGGTAATCCTAAATACACTGTTTCTGTTTTAGAGTAAAAGCATATCCTGTGTTACTGTTACATAAAGTACCATATCTGTCTTTAAAGAATGTTACTGTGTATAGCATTACAGCCTGCATTGGCAACAGGTTTATCGTACTGAATAATGCATCCATATTACTGCAACAAAAAGTCTACAAATGTACTTATCATGACTCGCAGTGTAAGCTTTGTTCGGCTCAGCTTGTGTCTGTCATTTCTGCATTAAAGAGGAGTCAGAGGTGCATATCTACCTGCTTCTGTGAGTCTGTGCGGGGAAGGATAGGGGCCTGTTGTGAGCAGAGCACAGAGGCCTGCTTGTGTGATTCTCCCCGGAGGCTACAACTTGTAAGCAGAACCACCAATAGTGTTTTTATTTACCTGCAAGTGCATGTGACTGGATCGTGCTGGGGAGGGGTAAGGAGAGGAGGTGTGTCGTGGATGGGGTTTACAGGTAACATGGCAACCGTGGAGGTCAAATTTAAAAAGAAAACTGTTCTGTTAATCATTCTCTTGTGATCAACAAACATTGCTAAAAGTTAATCCTGTAAATATTTTTCTGTGCTTTTACGTAGTTTTAAAGAAATTTAAAGAGCCAAGTATACTCACAAACAAAGTTTAGGTTTATTGGACAACAATAGCTGTTAGCAATAGCTTTTTAGTGACTACCATCAGGCAAAGCAGTGATCCTTTAATGTTGTAGAGTATGTAGAATGTACAGCATCTGTTGATACATCATGGATACGTCACATTCACTGGTCTAGGCTCACTACACTAGCAACAAAATAGCACCATTATCTGTATCTGTATCTGTTCAACCAACTGAATGATCTGTGTTCGTATCAGTACTCGGAACAGACAGGGCTTAAAACATACGTGGGTTGGCTTAAACTGTTTACATCTACAGACATTGCGGAGTCTGCCGTTCAGTAGCCCAGAACGGACAAACCAAACACTGGCTATAGATAGGGCCATTCATGTTTTTTACACATTTCGCAGCCACAGTAGTTTTTCCCTCATGGCTGGAAGGGGAAGGTGAAGTGAGGGAGTTGCAGTCTGCAACTATACCACTAGATGCCACTAAATCCTACACACTGCAGCTTTAAATCAGTCAATAACCCTGTAACACTAAAACATCCACTTACCTACAAATGATACATTAGATATTTACAGTTTAATACACACTGTTTTTAACATATGCACCCATCACTGTCACATACAAACCCTCCATGCTACATATACTGTTTATTTATTTTATTTTTTATTTTTTTGCACATTTTGTATTTGGTTAAAATTTAGACTTGACTTGTATATAGACATATGTGTTGTTGGTCAGTTTTTTTAAATATGTGTTTATTTCACCTATTTGTTTACCTACTTGTATGTACATAATAGTTCTATGTTTATTTTAACTATTTTTATTCAGCTTTCTTGTCTGTGTTTAGCTGTATATAAATTTCTGGGAACTGTGTGTACGGTGTAAATTCCCTGTATGTGTACTCAGACTGGGCCAATAAAGCTGATTCTGAAAACTATCACTGAGAACTGAAAAGTTGCCAGATCTGGATACTTTGATGCCATGTAGCAACATCCAGTCAGTCAGTAGGTGTTCTGATAATATAATATAACATATATTACAAAAATAACAGTATACTGTGTGGTCTTTACAGTATAACCTGATATGATATGTTTGGAAGTGTATTAAGATTAAGATATGAAATAACTTTAAGAACTTTGACAAACATTATAGAAATAAAAACACACACTTCATTAGACCTGATGCTTTGAAATGTATCTGTAATGCATAAAAAATAAGAGATTCATCCAAAAATGCCCAAAAATGTTACAAAAATTCACTTCAAACATGCACATTTAAAAATGTATAAAAGATCGTGGCATTGTTTGAATACTCTCACATATAGAAATTAAAATGCACAGTTCGTTTACAATATTTACTTAAGATGTATTTTTAAATGTTATTATTATATATATAACATTATTATCTCTTCTCTCAATCGTCAAACCTAACTCAACCGAGTGTGCGGAGGATCAATAGAAACTATTTTTACCTGCAATATTTGCAGTAGCAATGAGAAGGCGACAGATGGAAGGAATATGTGATAAAGAGAGTTGATCTGAAGGCCTTGTGGGATGGAAATTTGTATTTATTTATTTTGCTGTATTGAGCTGTGTTTACATGGTTTTCATGCCAAAATGTAATTTATCTTCCAATACGGAAAATCTGCATTTGCTGCCACAAAGTGAACAAAACTAAAGACTGATAATAACATCTTTGTCAATCAATCAGGTAGCTAAATTTTACTACTAACTGTTCATAGTTGCTTCAGAAGTAGATTTGAATTATAATATTTGTACAATGTATGAAAACTGTGAATCATAGCTGCAGATTTTCATAAAATCATATGAGATGTGAAATTATAGATGGACAGTAGGTGAAACAAATTCCATGAGAATAAAAATATGTATTGATATTGATTTTAATAATCAATAAATTAAGCTCTCTGTGTTTGTTGTAAATAACAAAAGGCCAAAGATGACACACATTTATTTTATCATATATAAAGGACCCAGTCGCTTTTGGCAGAGGTAGTAAGTAAGTATACGACCAACAAACCTGTATATATGACTGAAAATTGATTTTCAGTAAATGTAAAGTAAAGTAAAGTTAAATGACTACTGCTGCTGTATTTGGATTCATTCATATTATTTTCTTGAAAATAATGAGTCAGTTCAATCACAGATTTAAATTGTGGATTTGAAAATGTGCAGTTATTCAGTATTTCACAAGAAAAATGTAAAGATTCAGAAAAAGTTAGAAAAAATACACACTCTGCTTTTGCTACCAAAGTAAGCAATTTAGAGCACGAAAGGCACATTTTAAGCTTGGAAACGGTAATTTAACCAAAAGTCTAAAAAAAACATGAACCATATGCAACCTTTTGTCCTTTCAACTGCAACTTCTGGTCTTTCTTAGCAGATGGAGTGACAACTGAGCAAGTGCACATACGTTGACAATGGACTTTACGGTGAAGTGTATTCTATGGAGGGCCAAAGTGTCACAGAATTATTAAACACGTTTATTAATGCCTATTTTTAGTGTACAATTAGTTATTAATGAATAAAATCCTTTCTTACCTTCTCCATGACACTAGTGGTCCTCCACACAAACAGCCCAAAATTTCACAGAAAGAAAAGGGAGAGGCTAAAAGGAAAAGCTCAGTGATGGAAAAGGAAATTGCCCTTTTAAATGCCTGATTAAAATCTGTATTCTCAATTCAATTTGTGAATCCTGTTATAATTTATATATAAACGAATTTTTTAATTATGCTTATATGTTATTTTTTATAAATCCAACCCTTTTTAATTTGTACGGAGCCTTGTCCTCCTTTTGAGAAAATAACAAAAACAGTCCGCCTTTTGACACATTACCTTGTTAGTTTAATACTTATTGGCTTAAAATATGTGTCAAAATAAGTAATTTCATTGGTTACATTTTGGTGTTGTGACCTATCAACACATGGCTAATTTTAATATTCAAATGAGCCATGTGTTGATTCACAACACTCCATCCATATCTAGTGATCTAGTGCACACAAGATAGTATCTAGTGCACTAGAAACGTTTCATTTTTTTTTTTTTCCATGTCCCTTTAGGGGCTCCGTAAATTTGCACTATTTATTGATGGATATTAACATTTCATTTGTAGTCAAATAAAGAATTACATTTTATATTTATCTCTAGGTTAAATGTTTTTTATTTTTTTTTTTTGGCCCTTAAGGGAACCTCAAATGAGTGTCCAGCTGCAGAACAGGGCATTTAAATGCGGACTGTAACAAAAGAGGTTACAGATTAATTTACATTTATTTTTTAGTTACAGACAAATTAGTTTAATACTCATTTGAATATTAAAATTAGCCATGTGTTGATTTGCCACAACTCACTAGATAGTATCTAGTGCGCACAAGATAGTATCTAGTGCGCACTAGAAACGTTTAATTTTTTTTTTTCCCCCATGTCCCTTTAGGGGCTCCGTAGTTAATTAATGAAATGCTTTATTCCTATTTCCACTCGTGGTCCTCCATAGAAAACAGTGAGTGGCAGCACAGCACAAACGCTTGCTAGTTTTTCCAGGGAACCAAGAAAGTGACCAAGAAGGACCAGAAAGTGAATTCTAATCTAGTAGGTTTTAAAGTTGCCCCAGGCTTTGTGGCATTATAAAAGACTCTAAACTATTTGCGTTATATCTTAACCAAACCCCCTTTAAGTTTTCATTTTTTATTTGTCTGTTTATTTATTTTGTTTTGGTTATTTGTTTTTGTTTTCTGCTTGGATTGATTTATTGTTAGGTATGCTTAGCATCCATTGGTGGTGCCCGTTTGGGCCCTGTAGAGGGCGATAAAGCGCTCACATGTTTGATGCCAACCCACTGATCACTAGAAGAAAACGCCTTGGCGTGACGTCACTGGTGTAGCGGCCACAAACAGGAAGAAAACATCCATCCAGCTGTTATCTAAGAAGGGAGAGCTCCGGCTAGCCTAGCAGCCTGTGTACCATTGGCACAGTAATGAAACGGTGTTGTACCATGCTGTGTCCGGAGTAGTGCCTGTATCGACGGACACCCAGAGAACACGGTTCTCCTCGACTTTCCTCCGGTCTGACTGTTGAAACAAGGTAAGTTAGCTTAGCAACAGAACGTCAGCTAGCGGTAGCTAAGGTTAGCCTGTGTGCTGGGTAGCTAGCAGGAGGCAGCTGTGATACCTGTGAGAGCCTTCTTCATCCCGGTCTTTGGACTGCTTGAGATATATTGAGTGGTTGAAATAGTTCCTACAGGGACTAACATTGTGGTTTGGGCCTTTAGGTATTCATTCATGTCTGTGCAGGTAGAACCCAAAGAGAGAGAGAGAGAGAGAGAGAGAGAGAGAGAGAGAGTGTGTGTGCACAGCAAGCACTCATTAACTTCATCCAGTCTGTGAAACACCATCAGTGAAATGTCAGGCCACAACATCACTTTCACTTATTGTTATATTCTCAAAAGCAGGGTTTAAAAATGTAATCTGATACAGTTACTAATTACCTGTAAAAAATGTACTTAGTAAATGAATCCAAGTATGACAATATTAAAGTAACGTGACTTGACAACTTGCCATTACTTTTGGATTACCTCAACAAAAATCTGGAAAACCAGGGAACTCGGAGACTTGTTTTTCAGTCATGGAAACACCTGGAAATGGTTTAAAATGAGCAAATATCCTGGAAATATTCTGTGTTGTCCCGGAAAGTTTTAATTCCTCACTCAGATCTTTGAACTTGGGTGTTTGAAACTAAGCTGTCGGTAGGATCATCTGCACAGTGTGACACTCCAAAGCGGGTTTAACACACCGAAAGTGCCTATTAAGAGCCGTTCACAGCACTGGGAGTATGGCCAAATGCAATATCCAAATCACAAGAAGCTGCAATTTGTTTAATAAAGGTCACGTGTGTGACAGACAGCGTTATAATGAAGTACTGTAGTCCTGCAGAGATGCCCTGGACTACAAATCCCATTCTCCAGATTAAAAAAAAAAGGTACAGACCTCAACAACGTCACAAAATTTAATTTGTGATGTAAAAACTAATCGTGAATCATATTGCAATGGCAATATCTGTCTAAGTAATCGTAATATGATGTTTTTACCATTTTGTGCAGCCGTACTGTAGACACTTATATCTACAAGCATACAGCTGATCAAGTTTAACATTTATTGGTGTGGTTGATGATCGCTAATAATTCTGAAGTTTTACCTACATTTGATTCTTTTGGGTGTGAATGGCTGCTCTTCACTTCAGTTACTGTTGGCCTGTCACTGTTTAAAAAATGAAAGGTTTTGTTCAGCGTGACCTCCTGATTGTTGGTTCAGGTCGCAGTCACTGACGCAGACACTCACCAAACCTGATTGTGCTCTCTGTTGGTCCCTGCAGGTGTGAATGAGTGACGTGGTGCCTCCCACAGCTCTCAGTGAAGTCCAGCTCCGCTTCCTCTGCCACGATGACATAGAGAACGTCAAGCTGCTCTGCGGTGATTGGTTCCCAATCGAGTAAGAATCCTATCCAGTTTGCCATAAAGTTTTTATTTTTGAGTTTTGTACACAGCCTGCATCCATCCATCCACATCCAGAGTGCTGCATATACAACACTATTACAAAAAATGAAGAAAACCATTTCTCCAAACTTTCACAGTCAGATCCCCAGACAGGGATGACCTGGGAATTGAATTCAGCCTGGGCAGGCACAATTTCTTTTCTAACACTAATACAGTTTTTGTGGTATGAAGAGAATCTGCTGAAGAACTTCTAGACACTTTAAGATATCTTGCTGTCATCTAGCTCCTCAGTATGTATAAGCAGGTCACCACTGCACTGAACCTAGGTGAGCTGGAACACTTAGTCACAGTATACTGCCAACTATACTGCTAGCGTCTGTACCACAGAGTGTACAGTCAGTCAGTAGAGTACTAAAATATTTACAAATGCTCACACGTGCACACTCAGATACTCAGTGCAGTTCAAATAAAGCAATGAATGAATGCAAACCTGTCTCACCCCCGCCTGCAGGTACCCAGACTCATGGTATCAGGACATCACCTCCAACAAGAAGTTCTTCTCCCTCGCTGCCACCTTCAGAGGAGGCATCGTGGGAATGATTGTGGCCGAGATCAAAGGCCGGACCAAAGTACACAAAGAGGTACCACATTGAGCCCTGTTATACAGCCGCTCATACGAGGCTTAAACATAAGTGTATTCTTTGTAGTTGTACTGTGTGGAGGTGGTGTCACTGAGTGTATCGCTGGTTCAGTTTATCCACTCTCACCCAGCTGCCATTTGGAAATGCTAGAAGTGGAACACATGGACATAGTGGAGTCTGTTTTTAGCCTGCTAATTAGATGAATAAGATGTCCTCAAGTTAGACTTTGTAACACACAGGAATAAGAAATAAGGGATAACTGTTAAAAGGAGCTCTGCAGGTAACTAATTTGGCCTCCCACACGTCCTGGAACGTGTGGGAAAAACGTTCTCTATTTTTTGGTCCTCTATTTATAAGTAGTAGTTGGGAAACAGCGTGTTTCCTGATTCAGTTTTTTCGTTTTCAAGTGAAATCCGTTGCCTGCAAATCACAAATGCAAGTCATCACACTGTGCAGTAGACTTTATGAAGTGGTGGTAGAACTTAACTGGAAAGATCTAACTTGTGTCCTTAAACAGTAGAATACTTGGCAGATGTGCAGTAATAAAATACTGAGATTGAATGTATTCAACTGGACTGGTGTCAGAAATCTGCTCCTCTCATTTTAGGCCATAGTTTTTTATAAACTGTTCACTCAGTGGATGGAGCGCTTCCTGTCAAAACTCAATTTGCATTTGAAAGAGATTTGCATTGTGAAATCTTCCTGCCCAGAGGGTAATTTTCCTAGGCAAAGATGACAATGATATAAAATGAAAGGCAGCAAACAGAGCATGATCATAGCACGACAATAAACTATTTTATGTTCAAAGGGAATGGGGCTTAATCTGTCATTTTCTCTCTCTCTCTGTGTGTGTGTGTGTGTGTGTGTGTGTGTGTGTGTGTGTGTGTGTGTGTGTGTGTGTGTGTGTGTGTGTGTGTGTGTGTGTGTGTGTGTGTGTGTGTGTGTGTGTGTGTGTGTGTGTGTGTTAGGATGGAGACATCCTGGCCTCCAGTTTCCCTGTGGACACACAGGTAGCCTACATCCTCAGCCTGGGAGTGGTCAAAGAGTTCAGGAAACATGGCATAGGTACGGCCGCCCTTGCCCACAGGCTCTCACACACACAAAAACTTGGGTTTAACACTCCGAGGACACTGAACTGACTGACATCCACTCCTTCTACACTCACCCTAACCTTAACCACACAACCACAACCACTACATGCCACACCCCATCCTTTACCCTAACGCAGAGGTATTCAGACTATGAGGAGGCACTGGAGAGTATAGATACTGTGTGAGCTAAAAAGACAGGTGCATGCTGGTGTTCCAAAAACCACTGGAAGTTATTGTAGTTTGGCTCATTTATCAACACAGTAGTTGTTGCAGCAGCAGTGGGTGTTGCACACAGCTCATGGAGGTGATTAAAATACTGAAAACTCGCCTGATTGCTGCAATGTGCAAAAATTTGCCTGAGAATATTCACATTTCTAATCTTTCTTCAGTATCAAAGTAACCCAGTGATAGTTGTCTGCACATACATGGATGCATTGCAAACAGGAACTACTAATAGCTAACTCGACATACATTCAAAAGTGTCAGTTTGCCAAAATGTAAAAAAACAATTGTAGACAATGTCTTACTAGACAAATGTTAGATTAGTTGCTTTAAATTGATTGCAGTTTTACAGTGCACTGGTCCAAGGGTTATCAGGTCTTCATCCACTTCTCACTCTGGATTCAAATGTGAAAGCACAGATCAGCACATGATGGAGGGAACATACAGCACTGTCTCAGAGTCCTGTGTCTGAAGAGCATGGAATGGAAAGTCACATCATTGACAATATTTATGACTCGTTGACTACTTAAAAGTACATTTTATTAACACCTGCCTGTAGTAATGATCTGTAAATGTTATATTTGTGTAGAAAACACTTTGTTAGTTTGGTGCAGAGCTGTAGACTTCAGACCTGGAGTCGAGTAGACAAGTGGAATGCGTCTCTCCCTCTCACTGATAGAGCTCTCTCTCCTTTTCACTCCTCAGGCTCCCTACTGCTGGACAGTTTGAAGGAGCACATCTCAACGACAGCCCAGGACCACTGTAAGGCAATCTACCTACACGTCCTCACCACCAACAACACTGCCATCCACTTCTATGAGAACAGGGACTTCAGGCAGCACCACTACCTGCCCTACTACTACTCCATACGAGGCGTCCTCAAAGACGGATTCACATACGTGCTCTACATCAATGGGGGCCATCCACCCTGGACATTATTATATCCTTTTGTGAAAGCAGGAAAAGAAGACACTCACTCACTATTGTTTAGTGGACAGTTTATGTTTACAACTCCACACCAAAACGTTACCTGCTCCAAAGAATAGAATCTACAGCATCTTGATTAGAGGAGATCTTTGTACTTTCAGGCAATCTAACAGAGTTAGAGAAAATAGATAAGCCAAACATAAATGCAGTATTTTTCACATTTACCTTAACTCCCTGTCCCACTGACTACATCCAGCACATCGGTTCAACCCTGGCCAGCCTGAGCCCCTGCTCCATCCCTCAGAGGCTGTACCGACAGGCCCAGTCCCTGCTGCGCTCTCTGCTCCCCTGGTCCAACATCGCCTCTAAGACTGGCATACAGTACAGCAGAACAATGTGACACAACATGGTGGGTGGGAGTTGTGGTGGCTAGTTAGTACCAATGCCTTTTCTGTCCATCACTGGATGTCTGATTTTCTCTTTTTCTTTCTCTTCTTTTTTTCAGGAGCGAAACTTCCGTTTCTCATCAGTCTTCCCCTGTACACACCAAGATGTACACTCACACTCGCGTTCTCCATCTCGCACAGGTTTCCACACCCTGTGTATGACACAGGACTCAGGTTCAACCTGCGTTTGACCACTCACACACCAGAATACTATTCCCCATTCACTACACATGGCACTGTTCACACAAAGATCCAGGTTTGATAAACAGGGTTGTTGCATTGCAGCGTCACTCAAAGTGCAGTGTTGTTGTTTTTACACTGACACACAGAGGGATTGCTTTAAATCATTCTGTTACTATACTATCCCATATATACTCCACTATCCATTAGTTACCATAGTAACCTGTGTTTACCCAGTCATACCAAAGTGGAGCAGCGTCACACCCGCTTTCAACCCAGGCAGCTGAGCAAAGCGGAGAACCTGGTTCAGTTAATCCACGTTGACCCAGGCACTCCAGCTCATAATGGTTGTCTCTTCACACACACACACACACACACACACACACACACACACACACACACACACACACACACCGTGAACCCTACAGAGACTTCATCCTGTCCACCACTGTCACAGAGACTATGTATACTGTTTGTATATTATATATACTAAGCTAATATATAAATTTCTGTCATTATGTATGTCTATTCTATGCTGTTAGTAGGCCCAGTTGGAAGATATCCCACCCTGTCCCCTTTTTGAGTAGAGACTGAATCCAGAGTCAATTCCAGTTTGTGAAATAGAGACTCAAGAACAAGTTAAATTTAATTGGACTGTAAATCTAGCAATGTGTAGGCTAGTATGGTAGAATAAAGCTAAATATATGCAGGAAACCTTGAGACACAATGTAGATGGCTGATATATTTTAGTACCAACTGGAGTTTTCAAAAAGGATTCTTCCCTTTTGAAAATTCACTACATTGTCGATTTTCTGGAAACTGTGCTATTGACATCAGTACAGAATGTACTCGGCACTTCCTGCAACAGAGTTTACAGACACCTCACATATTATGCAGTGCTGTTTGAAAGTCTTACATAAAATCAGAACTCAACGCAAAATGGCCTTTCTACATTGTTTCCAAATGTTGCCCATGTATAGTTCACACAAGAGTGAGGGGGAGTTGCTCGGGGTGCTTCTTTTAGAGGTTTTAAATGGCTGCAGCTCTGTCTGTCTGCTCCACAGCTGTAAAAAAAAATGCTGCTCATGTAGAGAAATGTCTATTTGTTTGTCAAGATTTTAAATTATGGCCCAGATTAGATTTGTTTTTAAATTGGCCCATACACGAAGTAGGAAAAAGGAAGTCCCAAACACACGTGTCATACACCTTGTGTGCTTGTGTGCGTGCAGGCGTGTATGTCCATGTGTGTGTATATATGCACACAGGGTCAGAAATTAGCACCCAGCTAGTGCCAAATGTTGGTCTTATCTGTCAGCGGAAGAAAAAATGAGTAAAGTTCACCCAACATGATGACTGGTAACTTTGTCCGTGAGTAACATTGTAGTTTCTCAATTTTATCGCATTCTCTTGCACTTCGTAACCAATTTCAAACCTGATCCAGTTTATCAGCGTCAATGTATCAGTGAGCAAATAGATTTTATACATGACATAGCACTGAAAAGGGGTATGGGTAACTGTGTGAAAAATGTGCATTCATTGTTAAAAGGTGAACGTTTCTCAGTCTACCAGCCCTGGGCAGGTAGCTCAGAGGGAATTTCAGACATTGTGTATGCAATAAACTTGTTTCATTTGACTGATTGTAAAGACTGAGTCAGCATGATTACCCCTGCTGTATGACTGTTTCTGTCATAAATCTGAGCCCTGTTTTTATTCACACCATGCCATGGTTTCTACTGTTTGTCTTAAAGGGGCACGCCTGTGGTTTATTATTGCACTGCTGTTATTTGGTTGAGAATTGAGAGAGTGATTTTAAAAGAAAAAAATGATTATTGAAGCAGCAGTGGCAGAAATGTCCTGACTTTCAGTACAAGTCTTTGTTAGGCCCATCCTGACCTTTAAAGCTGCACTAGGTAACTTTTATAAAAATTGACACTGAACATCATCATCAACTACCTTCAACCCAAAGCGTTGTTATATCTTTCTTGGCTCTGATACCTACTGCAGCTTTAAAGGTCCAGTGTGTAGGATTTAGTGGCATCTAGCAGTGTAGTTGCAGTTTGCAACTCCCTCACATCAACTTCCCCTTCCAAGCACAAAGGAGTAATTACAGTGGGGCCGAAACACATGGAAAATGCAGAACGCCCCGATCTAGATCTGGTGTTTCGTTTGTACACCCAACATGGTGGAAGGCAAACCACATCTGTAGATAAAACGCCTCATTCTGAGGTAACAAAAATACAATGATTACTATTTTTAGGTGATTACACATGAATGAAAACATACCTATGAATATCATATTCCATTTCTGACAAAAGATCCTCCTCAATGTTACACACTGGACGTTTAAATGCCAATGTCTTTCAGCCTCCCAGTGCTCAGGGCTCTCTCTTTCCAAGTTTCAAGAGATAACCCTGATGACATCATCTGGGTTATTTCCTCTTCCCTACCTCAAAATTTCCTCAAAGCTCCTCCAGTCACAGAAGAGATTATACAACTGTTTTCACAGGCTGAACTGAACCAGCATTATTAAGGATTTGTATTTTTCATTCAGTTTATATTTATGTATATATATATATTTACTGTCAAATCTGTTTAGTTTTGGTTAGTTTCCAGAGTGGGTTTGCTCATTTCGCTTTTTATTTTTTTTATTGTTTAAGAATGTTTGGTGTGTTTATGTTTAGTTTTGATCAGTTTTTGTGTTAGTTTTTTTTAGTTTTTTTTTTTTTATTATAATATGGGGGATCAGGGTCCTCATGCATGTTGTGACTAAAGACTAAAATGAAAGGCAATTCCTTAAATTTTATTTTATTTTAGTTAGTTTTGTAAGTAGACAATGTAGTTTCAGTTACTTTCCATCATTTATCAAAATTTTGAATGAACTATAATGACCTTGAATAGTACTTTCCAATGAAGAGTAAACCGATCTTGATGTGGAACTGGTGGCGTGTCCCTTTTAAATACACTGTAAAAGGTTTCCATTGTGTCCTTACCATCTAGAACATCTAGTGCCCCACGGGTGTAATAGCAGCATTAGCATCCTGCCAAAACAATGCATCCCAAGAAGTGAAGAACTTGTGGGGAATGGAAGAAGCTGGTGGATTTTTTCATTAAGCCTCATTAATTTTTAATACAAAGTGCATGTGAAGTGGCTTTGCTTGGTCTTGGACCACAGATGCTTTTCTGGCCATGATATGGTTTCAATAATGGATTGATTGTGTCATAATTCAACAGCGGCTTCCTGTCCCTGTACAATAACCGTCTGTCTTGTTTTCAACATTGTACACTTTGTTGTTCTTTAGCTGATCTTGTGGAGATTGAGAGGGGGAGTGTGTTTTTAGCTGAAGAATAATTCAGGACTTGTGAGCCTCTTCTAATCAGGGGTGTGTCCAGGAAGGGCCTGGGATGGCACTGATTGGCCACCCCAGGTGCCACGGTATCCTTAGCTCTTCCACTTGCACTGTCTTTCAGAGACTGTAGTGTATGGAAGCCCATTTCTGCTAATGTGACGGGGGAAAAAAAAAAAATTAAAAGAAAGCTCCAAATTTAACCAACATTTTGGTGATAGAACAACTGGAATTGCCATTTCTAAATGGATTCCTTCACCTCTGACCTCAAGATGTCTTAATATAATGGGATCCGTGGGTACCCACTCCCCTTTGCATACGTGACCACTTTATGCTCATCCCATGCAGTTTTATTTTTATTAATGTGTTTATTTCACCTAGTGTACTTGAATATTTCTGCATACTGGGGTCCATTAACAGTGTTTGCATATATTGAGAATGACTGGAAAGCTAAGACACATAATTAATGCGACCCCAGTCAAAAAAGTTTGGAAACACCTCACTCATCATAAACATGTACCGCAGCAGTTATCTTCTAATGTTTAGCAGGAACACACAGCCAGTTTTAGGCTTATACTTCAGTTTGAAATGTTAGATACCCCAAAGTTGCATATTTATGTCTAAAATTGATTATCTAAAACACAGAAATAAAATTAAGGCCTCTACTTTGTGGTAAATCTGAATGTTTTTAATAGATTTGGTACATGTGCAGCCACAAAATTAGAATGTCTAATCATACTTTAGGAAAAGTCCATTATCAGCTCAGACTGCTTTGCTAAAGACATGTTAGATTGTGTACCCACTGACAAAGATTGAAGGCAGACATCATCTTTCAGTTTGACACAAATTATTGGATGTTTCTTTGAAAAGTCGCACCAATAATAATTTAAACAATTCATGAAAAAATACAATTCATTGCAAACACCTATAAAAGGGTAGTGGTACTGGGGTTACATGTAGTTTTTTGATTTTTAATGCTATAGGCCTACCACCACACACGAAGTTTCCATTTTCTCAACAACTGCAGAAGGACATCTTTTGGTTAGCTTCATATTGGTAAGTACAGTTCCTCTTTGCCAGCAGTTTCCCTGTGCTCTTTAATAAACACTATATTTTTGCTATTTTTTTTGGCACAGACTATTTTGAGCTCTCTTATCTCTCATGGTTTGCTTTGTTGCACATACTAAAATGCTGATTGCCAGACCAGGTTAGCCGATGCTGCTTTTTGGAATTCAACTTAATATGACCCTCTGTTGTGGCAGTGTTGCTTTGAGTAAAAAGCCTCTTTAAAGTCATTTGTCGTGTGTGTGTTGTTGTTGTTTTTGCCTAACTTCTTCTGAAGGGCAAATGGGAGGTGGTCATGTCTCAGCTTCACCCTTTGTCTGTTTCCTAAGGCAACGGCCGTATGTATGCTCTGCTCCTGCCTCTGCTCTCTTTGTTTTTCCCTCATGGGTTGTACAAAAGGGTTCAGTAGTCTGTGGTGGTGATAAAAGAGACCAATTAAAAAAGGAATTGCAGTTATTACACATTACACAGCTGCAGTATTGGAGCTGGGCAATTTGTTCCATCAGCGTCACATTACACACAATCCTTCATAGAGGCAGAGTTCATTATGTAACCATAGACACATGTACAGAAATGAGTGAAATGCAGTTATGTCTCCCTCTGCTGAATGCGACGAGGGGCTTCATGTGGACCTTGTCGATTTTCAGGTTATTTCTCAGCCCGTTCTCCTAAAGGTCCAGTGTGTAGGATTTGGTGGCATCTAGCGCTGTAGTTGCAACTCCATGGTTTCACCCTTCCCTTCCAAACTCGAAGGAACAACTACGGTGGCTGTGAATTGTGTGAACATGAATGCCTTAATCTAGAGCCAGTGTTTGGTTTGTCGCTTCTGGGCTACTGTAGAAACATGGCGGTTCAACATGGCGGACTCCGTGGAAGGCAACCTGTGGCATCTGTAGATAAAAACAGCTCATTCTAAGGTAACAAAAACATAATGATTCTTATATTCAATGATCTTGAAAACATGACTTGATAATGGAAACATACTTACATGATGTTGTATAATATTATATTCAATTTCTTTCTTTGTCTTAATGTTACACACTGGACCTTTAAGTTTGTTGTGTGTGTGTGTGTGTGTGTGTGTGTGTGTGTGTGCATGTGCGCAAACTACTATCTATCTATCTATCTATCTATCTATCTATCTATCTATCATATCTTATGAATGACAAGAAAAATACAGATGTTATTTTGAATGAAAATAAAGAAATTGTACAATGTGTAATGAAAATGTTTTATTAACAATTATGTCTATATTGTTGCTACTTTGCAGTATTTTATTTTTCTTTTCTATTTGATCCTCAACCAGAGGGTTCATCCTGTGGTTGGGTCCCTGGGGACGAAGAGGCGCCACAGCAGAGCCCAGATGGGTTGGGACAGATTTTTGTTTGTTTGCGCACTTATTTGTAGTTTATTTTATCAATTTATCTCTGTATTTAATTTTTTTTTATTATTTAAAATTGCAGTCCTGCTAATAATCCCTTTTTTTCCCTCAATGTAGCTGTAATTGTTTTTTTTTATGATAATAAATAACTTTTATTTCTTTTCCTGGCTGCCACCATTCAAACTACCTAAACAATTAGAACCAATATTGGCCATTTTGCGGCTTGTGGTTATTGTTTACGGTACACTGTGTTTTTGAGGTCACACTGTGGCGTCCGTTACGGTAAAGAACTGACAGGTGACGTCACTGAGCAACCACTCCCGCCCACTCGGAGACAGCAGCGGAGCGGCGGGTGATTACGCTGCCTGACTCTCGCGCACTCAACCTCATCACTGACACGTCCTGTTCAGCGGAGGGACAAACTAAACGTAGTCAACAGAAGTTGAGTTCAGAGCTCAGGTTGTGTCTCGTTGGACGCGTGTTGCTGAGCTACTGAACACCCTTGAGTCGTGAAGTTGACAAACAAGGTGAGTGATGGCACTCAAACAACTCAAACAACAAACTGACTGTTTTTTACCCCGTGAACGCAGCACGGATAATTCATTTTCATCATAAGCTAGCAGCTGTCAAGTTGACGCCTAAGTTACATTTAGTGAAGAGCTTTGGTTGTAAACCGTTCTGTTTTGGGGTAAAAAGTGGGAAACGGGGCCGCTGTGGAGGTTGTCACTAGGTTTCCCTTTCCAGCACATTAATGGCGTTCAAGTCCACTGATTTCCCACTCTTTCCATTACGGACTGTGTTTTCCTGGGGCGTTCATTTCCTTCGGAGGTGGGGGCAAACAACCAAGCAAGGAG